ATAGAATATAATGAAATAATTTAAGAAAAAAAATTTAAAGAAACATATAGAGTATACAAGGGAAGGAAAAATTTAAGGGGAGGCATTTTTACACACTTTCAAAATATATACCTATTATTGAAATATATATATATATAATAATGAAAGGAAAAATTCCAAGAGGGACACGTGCCCTCCTGGTCCTATACTGGATCCATCCATGCTTACAAAAATTTAAAGTCATTTAAAGTCAGGCTTGTTACACCAAAAGGGCTAAAAATTTCAGTTTGACCATTATGACATTTCCAAAATTGTCTCACAATTTTGACAATAAAATTTTCTGTTGTAGTTAATTTAAAAAATAAACGGAGCAACATTGGGGAAAACCAGAAATGTTGGCAATTTGATCATGCCTGGAAAAATGGATTTTATAACACACACATAATACACACAAGTATAACAAAAACAGAAGAAAACCCTAACCGAACTACTCATCTTTTGCATCCTTTCCAACAAATAAAAATCATACAAATATGTTGGAAATGGTTTTATGAAAACAAACAAGACAAGTAATGATGCTTATTTAAGTTGAAATTTTATAATAGCACACCATATTTTTATATATGTTTGTTTTAAGTCGGGTATTAAAGTCGCCAATAATATCATTTTTCTATATATACAGAGAGAAAGTAGTGATCTATTTCTAGTTTTCAAATTTAATATTTATTAATACCACTGATTACAATGACAAAAGGTAAGAGCATCTCCAGCGGTATGTTAAAATACCCTTTTATGTAAAATATATATTGCTACTTATGATGTGTAAATTTTTTCCATCTCCCGGAGTCTGTTAAGATACATTGCCACATCACCAATGTGTAAAAAGGTTGTATACACGGCCAAATCAACATATTTCTTTTTTCATCCCTCTTTCTCATTCCATTAAAGAATCAACCATATATTAAGTAAGTTTGTAAAAGTCATGTGGGTCCTGGCATGATACATAATTGATTGTTATTAGAAGATATATTTTTACATAAAAGGTATAAAACAACAGTTGGAACTAAAATTAAATAATTCAAAATTTTTGTGGAACTAAAATTAAATAATTCAAAATTTTTGTGTAAATCATCATGACACATCAGATTTATACAAAAAAAAATATACTTGGAGATGCTCTAAGTACCAAAAAAAAAAAAAAATAGTATTTGAAAATCACAACTCACCACTAAATGGAAATTTTGTTTTCTATATATATATATATATAAAAAAATAAAAAAAAATAAAAAAATATTGTTACAAAATTGCCTCGGTCACTTAATACTAAAGTTGACATGGCCTAATCTTTTGAGTGAGAAAAAGAAATTGCAGAAGTCCAAAACATGAAGAAATCCTCATTTAGCCTCTCCTCTGGAGGGACACAAGAAATAATCATTGAATTTTAAACGAGTCTTTAGAAACAAGCATTTTTTTCTTTCAGACTCTACATTCATTCAATGATTTAAAGCATTTCTGTTCATATGCTAGAGTTGATAACTGGTATCTCAAAACCTAATAGTCATGATAAAATCTTTCAATTTGTTGTCTCCTGCAAATATTGTAACTTTGTAAAGTATACACAATCATTTGTGTTTTAAATATTATGTGTATACCCACGAGAATTTATGCATGCCTTTGATACAATATGTCTCTCTTTTTAATACAAGGGAAGGGTAATGTTGTATATTTTCTTTTAGATTTTTTTGTTATTTTGTTATATATAAAAATTGGGAAACAAATTTGCCGGAAATAAAACATTGAAGTGTGATTGAACATATGTCCCATATATCAGTAGAGGTCAAAATAATAAAAGCTAAACTATCCATGTGAGTATAATTTGCTCAAACCTTGTGGAGGTGAGTGTAATTTACTTTGAGATAATGTAGTAGTATATATATGATATCCACGTTGTTCAAATTTAAATAATCATTTTTCACTTAAAAAGATTTGTTATAATTTTGTTCTAATTCATTGTGAAAAATAGACACTGCACTTTGTCTGTTGCTCATTTTTCTTCAAACAGAAAAGCCCTTGGATATTCAAATAAGCCAGACTCCATATATCTACCTCTAGATCTTTTGGGTATCAATCGTGGTTGATGTGGAGAAGTTTTATCTGCATTCCCATTTGTTCATGGTTAGTTCTGGAGTTTACCTATTGTGTTGTCCATTGATTAGGGAAGCTTTTTACTTAGTACGAATTATATGAACCTTTATGTGTTGATGGTTTTAATAAAACCCTGCTTTGGTCTGTTTGAAAGTTTCACACATAATTTTTTTCGAACTCTCTAGCTAGACACTAGATAGGAAACCATTTGCATTTTATTTAAAATTTATTGTGGATGTTTCTGTGGTCAGACACTAAATTCCCTCCACATTTGTTTTTAAAAAATAAAAATAATAATTTTTTTATATTTTTTCCCAAGGGCTATATATAGCGGTTAAGGGTTGACGTATTTATAGATAATAAAAGAAAGGCCAAAAAAAAAAAATTACTAGTATTGTTTTTTTGAACCAATATAACCATTAAGACAATGTTTTTGTAAGGCAAACACACTGCCTTGACGGCAATAATATCAACATTGTGCATAAAAAGTAAACAAAATAATAATTATAATTATAATTTGTATTTTTTTTTCTTCTTTTGCCCAAAAATCCTTTTTGGCACTATTTTTGTTAACTAATCAATGTCTTAATGACTCTTAATTTCAGTATTGTTCATAGAAAATTGTTTTAAACACACACACACAAAAAAATAAAAATAAAATAAAATAATAAAATAAAACTAATTTTTGACAATTTTCTAACCCAAACAAATACTTATGCTCTGTTTGGTTAGAGGGATAAAAAAATTAATGGAAGGGAGAGGAGGAAGGATGGTGAGGCATCTCTAGGGAAGGGAAGATGTCTCCCTCAAATTTTGTTTGGTTTGATGGAATGGATAGTAGAAAAGATGGATGAGGTAATACATTATTTTTGTTTGGTCAGAAGGAAGTGAAATAGGGTTTTTATAATCTTTTTACCAATATACCCTCGTTATTTAAAATTATAAAAATTCTAAATTTATTTCAAGTTTATAGGAAGGTTAGAAATGAAAAATATATATTCTTGTTAATTGTTACTTTTTTCTCTCTCCTCTTCATCCCTCCTTGCTTCCTCCCTCTTTTCCCTTCCCTCCAACTAAACACGGAAAAAGTTGTTTTATCCACCCTTTCATCCATCCCTCCCCAATCCCTCCCTCCAAACAAACACAACATTAGAGTCGTTCTCTATGAAAAAGACGAATCGGAGTTTGAAGAAGGGGAAGGAGAAGGAGCCCTCGACCCGCAACAGATAGAGGAGGATTTATTCAATCACATAGTTTGGGCTCCTAGAATATGGCGCCCTTGGGGCTTTCTATTTGATTGTATCGAAAGGCCCAATGAATTGGGATTTCCCTATTGGTCCAGGTCATTTCGGGGCAAGCGGATCATTTATGATGAAGAGGATGAGCTTCAAGAGAATGATTCGGAGTTCTTGCAGAGAGCTCGGATCGAATCGGTGCAAGCTTACCATTGCAAGCTGGGTTGTGACCCATTATGCAACCCAAAAATTGGGCCCACAATTTGGCGACTCTCGTTGAACTAGATTGGATCGCCCAACTTCACCCTGGGCTGGCGTAAATTGGGATCCATAGCCCCATTGAACCTGGGCTTAGATGTCTTGATTCATCCCAATACCAATCCTCAACTAGGTAAGGTTTGGGTATTTATTTATTTTTACAATGCAAGAAGTGTTAAAAGTTACATTAGTATATGTAGGGAGTCGAAACTTGATGCTCAAAAATCCACTGGAGGCACTAATCGATTGGGCAATCGAGTCATCTGCAGGTTTGAATATTTATACAATTGATGTAAAATATGGCGCATCATTATTAAATACATTAAAAAATATATGTCAGGACGTTGGATTGTGTGTGAGAGCTACGCAATCTAAAGGCTAAGGAGTGACAATTTGTATTCTATAGAATGAGAAATTCATATCACTCATAGGGGTGCACTAAAAATCGATCAAGCCGAAAATCCAAACCGAACCGGACAGTTTAGTTTGGTCACGGTTTCAAATTTGTGAAACCATAAAAATACGGTTTAGTCATAATTTGAGGTCCTTTAGGACTGAACTGGACTAAATCAAACCGTTTAGTCATATATATATATATATATATATATATATATGTATGTATGTATGTATGTTAAATTATATATATAATATAATCTTACAATTCAAATCACTTAAAATTTTGTAGCAATTATCAATTTTACGATTCACTCTTAATTCTCTCACGTCTTTATTAGTTTATTAGATGGTTCTTATTTTTTAGTGATTTACAATGGTTGAATTTTGTTGGTTTTCTAAATTGTGGCTAAATATTTATCGTTGAATTAGTAATTCTGAATATATTAGGTTATTAACAATTCTGAATGTATTCACTTCAGTTTCAGAGTCAAATAGAAGAATGAATGAAAAGTTCTGATTATATTAGTAGTTCTGAATGTATTGATTAACTAGGTTTGTTGTTTTGCATTTGCGATTTTGAAATATTAATACTTTTGTAGGAGGAAAAAAAAAGGAACCGTGGGTTTAATTCGTTTGGTCAAATGGTTCGTTTAATTATAGATTTTTTAGAGTCGGATTAACTTGGTTCTAAAATTCTCAAATCGGTTCAAACCAAACTGTCTGCAACCTAATAACTCCTTAAAAATTTGGCAGTCCACACCTTGATGACAATGCAACACTACTAAACTCACATTTTCGTTTCTTCCTATAAATTTAGTAAGGTAAAAAAATTTACTTACAAAATAAATAATACTCCGTAAAAAATAAAAATTGACGCTATAATCCTTATTTTACCTTTCAAAAAAAAAAATCCTCAGGACGTCCCATGGTCCCACCATTACTTCAATGCTGACGTGCGAGTTCCCAAATCAAAAAGGGTGCACAAAGCACCAGACCCTCTCTTTCTCTACTCTCTTGTCCGGCCAACCTTTTGTGTTTACCTTTGCTTTTAAATCCAATAGCATCCTATACACAGATATATATAGACATGTATAGAAGTTTGTAGATAGATCTTCGAGAATTGTCCTCTTTAAATTCGCAACCACTTCGGAGACATTCTCTCTCATCCACCCCCTCATCTCCTCTCTCCGTTTCTAGGGTTTCCCTTTTTCTTTGTTCAACCAGGTATCTTTCTTCAATTGCTTAACTGATTTTGTCACAACATATTTTATTTTTTTTAAATTTTTAACAAATCACGACATATTGCTTGCTAAGTCACAATTATACATGTGTGTATGTGTTGAATAAATGTAATCTCTTACTCATATTACTGAAAAAAGGTAAATTATTTGATTTATTTAAGCAAATTCTGATAAATTTTATGAAATTCTTTGGGTTAAATAGGTTTTATCGATTCCTATGTGCTAATCATTGTGAAATGAATCCCTTATAGGTGTTGCCGTCATTTTGGCGTCTATTTTTGTTGTTTTTGTCAAAACTTGTGAGGTCTGTATTCGGTTCAGCTGAAATGAGTGTGGTGGGATTTGATATTGGAAACGAGAACTGTGTGATTGCTGTTGTAAAGCAGCGGGGGATTGATGTTTTGTTGAATGATGAATCGAACCGCGAAACACCCGCTGTGGTGTCATTTGGTGAGAATCAAAGGTTCTTGGGTGCAGCAGGGGCTGCATCTGCAACCATGAACCCGAAATCGACAATCTCTCAGGTGAAGAGATTGATTGGTAGACAGTTCAGGGAACCTGATGTCCAGGATGACCTTAGGCGGTTCCCTTTCGAGACCTCAGAGGGTCCTGACGGTGGCATTTTAATACATTTACGTTATTTGAATGAGAAACATACTTTTACCCCGGTTCAGATTTTGGCAATGTTGTTTGCACATTTAAAGCAGATTGCTGAGAAAAATATTGAGATAGCCATTTCAGATTGTGTAATCGGGATACCATCATACTTTACGGATTTGCAAAGACGTATGTATTTGAATGCCGCGGAGATTGCTGGGCTGAAGCCACTAAGATTGCTGCATGACTGTACTGCTACTGCACTTGGCTATGGCATTTACAAGACTGACTTCTCCAATGCAGGCCCAACTCATGTTGTGTTTGTCGACATTGGCCATTGTGATACACAGGTGGCTGTTGCATCATTTGAATCTGGACATATGAAGATACTATCCCATGCTTTTGATAGGAACTTGGGCGGGAGAGACTTTGATGAGGTTTTATTCAGATATTTTGCAGCACAATTCAAGGAACAGTACAATATTGATGTTTATTCTAATGCAAGGGCTTCTATTAGGCTTAGGGCGGCTTGTGAGAAATTGAAAAAAGTCCTGAGTGCAAATGCGGAGGCACCACTTAATATCGAATGCTTGATGGATGAGAAAGATGTTAGAGGTTATATTAAAAGGGAGGATTTTGAGAAGCTGTCGTCAGACTTGTTGGAGAGGATTAGTATTCCTTGTCGTAAGGCTTTGGCTGATTGTGGTCTGAGTACAGAGAAGATTCATATTGTTGAGCTTGTTGGATCAGGATCTCGGATACCAGCTATTACAAGGATTTTAACTACTATTTTCAGGAAAGAACCCAGCCGGACTATAAATGCAAGTGAGTGCGTGGCTCGTGGTTGTGCTCTTCAATGCGCAATGCTTAGCCCAATATTCCGCGTCAGGGAGTATGAGGTTTGTTTGTTTATACAATAATCAACTCTTGATAAATTATTTCCATATATGCATGCTGTTACTTGCTTTTGTTAGTATTTCCATAATGGATGATGAATATTTAAATGTTGATTTGATCTTGAAAATTTTAATGCCCTGCAGTATAGCTGAATTCATTCTTATTTATGTTTTTTTGTGCTGAATTCATCATCCTTGCCTTTCGGCCACGCGAATTCTCTTTTCCATTCTTTCCTATTATATACCATGCGTCTTCTAATATATAATTTTTTAAAATCATTTTTAATTACGTTATCCCACGTAAGTTTTGGTTGGTCTTTTTATCGTTCACCTTCTATGCAAATAACTCTTCCTCTTTTAACTGGTGCATCTTCGGATCTACTTTGTATGTGATATATATATATATATAGATAAGTCTATATGATTGTACGACCTAAGTCTAATTTCTCTAATTTTATCATTAATAGGCACTATTCCAAGTTTTTTCTCACCCGTTCATTACTCTTCTCATCTCTTCTACTCACTCTTATCATCTATCATAGCATCCTCATTTCCGCTTCATGAATGCGCTGTTCTTTTTCAACGCCCAATACTCTATTCCATACAATATAGCTGGCCTAATAACTGTCTTGTAGAAATTTTCTTTTAATTTATTTGATATTCCTTTGCCATATGGGAGAGAACCAGCTTTCCTTTTTAATTTATTAGGATGATGCTACTTCAAGGATAATTCAATGTCCATTTGCCATTACCAATGAACGGAAAATGTAATTTCATCATGCTCTTTGTTCCTAGTTATTAAATGTTAAACGTGAATCTTTTCTTTTTCCCCTACTTAATTTGTTTCTATAACCTGCAATAATACCCGCTATGCTGCCAGTTTGAGGGTAATTTGATATATCTATGGCATTCTAATTCTTTCCTTTATCATAAAAAATGGATGAAAGATGAAAAATTTGCGACAACCCTTGCAGCATTGATGAAGAAACCAAAGAAGTAACCTGAATCCGTGATTTATAAGACCAATTGGAAGTTAGCTGGCCTCAATTAATCTTTTGCAAGGAGTCCCATTTGTGGCACTTGATCTTTGCAGTTAGTACAATTATTTTCATACAGCTTAATTTGATTTTGTTACAACTTCTGTATTGGCATTGCACAACTCGTGTTCTCTTTTAATTATCAACATTGAAGTAACATGTTGAAATTTATTGTGGAAATTTTTACATCATTGTCATACTGTAGAGCACCTGATGTTACATCTGTGTTGGATTTCTTTTCGAACATCATGCTTTGGGTTTAGGGTCCTTACTTGATAGGGATTTTGGTGTCATTTATAAAGATGCACGAGAATATCTGGGATAATATACTGAACCAATAAATACTTGTACTATCTGTTGATATTTAATATTCTGGTCTTCTTGGCATAATAAATGATTTTTTTTTTGTGTGGAAGTTTGGATCGAGTGTAATACAGTGTTTGCTTTATTTTCAATGGTTGCAAGGATTTCAAAATCATTAATCATGTTGAAATACTTGTTTAAAGATAAATGACAAAGTCAAGAGGAGCATACAACATATCATCACTGTACCATTATAATTACAATCCAAATATGCATTTATTTTTTGTACCAATTTTTCTTGACATTGAAGTTACATTTTTCAAACACATAGGTTGTTTTACATGACATTGTTTAGCATTCAATGGTGGCAGATCTATATGCATATGTTTGAATTTATTGCATGACACAAAAGTAGTTTTTTATTTTTATTATTATATTTTGTTTATGTTTTGGTGTACATCCGCATGCAAGAGAACCTTAGAGAGTAACATGACGATGAAAATAACTTCAATATGATAATTTCCTTAATAAAGTCATAACTCTGTTGAATTTATTGAATAACACAAAAGTAGTGTTTTTTATTTTTATTTTTTTTATTGGGTAAATTGCAGTGACACCCTCCAGGTTTGCCTAAAAGACAGGTAGATACAACTTAGGTCATTTTTGGACAATGACACCTCCCAGGTTTGCAAACTTGAACAATGACACCCCATTCTATAAAAAAGAGCCAAACACAACTTTAATTGACATGAAATGTCTAATATGCCCTAAGATATATTTTAATTCTCTCATAAAATGACCAAACTACCCTCTCCTTATCTTTCTCTTTTCAATCCTATTTTTGCCAAACACAGATTCTCGTCTCTCTCTTTCGTAGCGAAGGTTGTGGTGAAGTTGCAGTGGTCGGGTGGCGGCGGCGGCGGCGGCGGCAAAGGTCATGGGTGAAGATGCAGTGGTCGGAATAAATAAATAAATTATAAACATAATATTTATTCATTGAAATTCCGAAACATATACCAGAATGGTGATTCTAAATTCTTCATTAAAGTTTATTAAAATGGAAGAATGATGATTGGAATGAGGTGGGTGTTTAATGAGTAATGTTGGGCAAATTTTGATATAGTTTCCATGGCTGTGGATCAATTTTATGAATTTAAAGAAGCTCAAAGCCCTCTTTCCAGAAATTTTAACATACAGAGAGTAATGGAATTGAACTTAAATATTTTTGAGTTGTGGTTTGACTGCTAAATATACACACACATCCATTTCCAGATTAAAAATTACATTAGGAAATAATAAATTCATTAAAGATATAGATAATTAAATTCTTACAAAAACTAATAGTAAGATCAGAACAGTTAGATCTAAGCCTGGGAATGATTAAGCCGAAAGAGATAATACCCAAAACATATAGTTTATTAAGATTGCAGTGCTGACAACTAAATATAGCATGGAAAAAAGAAAAAAAAAAAGACGGCAAATGGTGCTTAAACTGCAGTGGAGAATTGAGCAGCTAAGCCTAGCCATGACTTGGTTTCAGCAGGCTTGGAAGGAGGAGCAACAGATGAATTGATTGTCTGGTATGGCACTTGAGCTGTAATACTGTAAAAAAGCCAACACAGAAATATCAAGATCAATTTATGATCAATTTCGCCGCCGCCACCCAACCACCGCATCTTCACCCACGATAGCAACGTTCTCTGGAGAAAAAAAAAAAAAAAAAAAATAGCAACGTTCTCTCTCTATACTGTAAAACGTAATAATGTAATAAATAGCAACATTTAAAAATGTTGCTATTTATTACATTATTACGTTTTACAGTATAGAGAGAGAATAACATTTTTAAATGTTGCTATTTATTACATTATTACGTTTTACAGTATAGAGAGAGAACGTTGCTATTTATTACGTTTTACAGTAGAGAGAAAGGAGTGGGACGAAGGTGCTATAGAGAGAGAACATTGCTATTTATTACGTTTTACAGTATAATAATGATGCAATATTTTTTTATTACGTTTTACAGTATAAAGAGAGAATGTTGGCATTTATTACGTTCTACAGTATAATAACGATGCAAATTTTTTTTATTGGAAACTGTTAAAATATATATTTTTTAATTTGTAAAGGACCATTTTTAGCTCTTGTATTTAATATTATATTGTAAAAATACTAAATATAGCATATTTAACCATTTTTTATTTTATTTATTAATATAGAAATTATGATCCAAAATATTTTTATTTAAAAATTATAAACATAAAAATAATAACATTTACAAAACAAACAATAATAATAATAGGTAAACCGAAAACCCTAAAGCAAAAGGTAGGCCGGTAGGAGTAGGGTTGTTAGTTTGCCAAATCTACTTTTGCATTAATCCTTTATTTTAAAACTATAAAGAAAAGAAATTCAAAAAAATAATTAAGTAAACCTACAATCCTCTAGTAGGCTTGCCAAAAGCAGTAAGGGGTAGTTTAGGATGGCTGCAGGTGTGGTCAGGTTAGGTCAGACACATCAATCTAAGATCCGGCTGTAAATTGCCATAAACTTGTATCTGCGGCGTCACAGAGTTAATGGCTGTTAGTTCTTAAATTTACTCAACATGTAACGAAAAAATAATAAAACATTTTTATTTATCTTTACCAAACAAAAATAAATAGTGGTCTGTCCAATTGTAAAATAAATAACTCTAGGAATATTTCTGCCTTCGCTGCCACCACCGAGAAGAGAAGGTTGAAAGAGAGAGACGAGAATCTGTGTTTGGCAAAAATAGGATTGAAAAGAGAAAGATAATTTAAGAACTAACAGCCATTAACTCTGTAATACCGCAGATACGAGTTTATAGCAATTTACAGCTGGATCTTAGATTGATGTGCCTGACCTAACCTGACCACACCTGCAACTGTCCTAAACTACCTCCTATTGCTTTTGGCAAGCCTGCTAGAGGGTTGTAGGTTTACTTAATTAAAATATATCTTAGGGCATATTAGACATTTCATGTCAATTAAGGCTGTGTTTGGCTCCTTTTTTATAGAATGGGGTGTCATTGTTCAAGTTTGCAAACTTGGGGGGTTGTCATTGTCCAAAAATGGCCTAAGTAGTATCTACCTATCTTTTAGGCAAACCTGAGGCGGTGTCACTGCAATTTACCCTTTTTTATTTTATGTTTTGGTGTACATCTGCATGCAAGAGAACCTTAGAGAGTAAAACGACGATGAAAATAACTTCAATATGATAATTTCCTTAATAAAGTCATAACTCTGTCGTACGTTTTTGAATTTTTGAGAAATAAGTTGGACTGCTACAGCTTTCAATTTGAGTATCCAGCACAGGTAGATGGTCATGTTGACAGGTGTCTAGTGCCCCAATTCTATATGAGGTGAACTGTCCTATGTATGATAGGCTCAGTTATTTCTTTATTATCTACCAGACTCCTAATAGCCAAACATGTACACCTAATTTGATGACAAATTGTTCTGTCATATTTCTACATTTTTTTTTTTTTGTTAATACCCCCTAAATTGCATTGTAAATAATTTTTTCATATGTCACTGTAAATTAACGAACGAGAATAGTATAAGAACATGATATGGCTATTAGATGCATTCATATGCATGCAGATGCAAATTAATGATTATAATTAAATGCTCATGATTATTGTCTGGTTTCTGATCATTTGTCTTGTTCCAATTTATTTAAACCAGTTCCAATTTATTTAAACCAAAAACAAAGGAGACCAAATATAAAAAAATAAATTATCCTTCTATCTGCTAAAGTGCTCAAAGTTTAAGAAAACCTGTGTCAATTTCTTCAGTCATGCTATTTTTACTGAAAACCAATAGTCTAAGGTTTCAACCTCTTTTACATTTTTTTCTGCAATTTGTTTCCTCGCAACTTTGTAGATTGAGGTTGAAATGGTGTTTTTCATCCTGAGATCACAAAAAATGAGAAAAAGGAATTGGATAAATAGATCTTGGATGGAATTATTGGTATATCATTCCAGTCTTTGTTACCTGGACTCTCCTATTCCCCTTAACATACCCGTGTCGACATGATATGACATTGGTATCGGTATGGATGGGATGTGTCCGGCACACTTACCCAAATTGGACACCTGGATCATGTGTTCTTGATGATGGAAGAAGAAGAAAAGCTCAAATGTGATAGCAAAGAAGGGTTACACACTTCTGAGATAGATAGAATCTCTCCTTTTCACCGTATTTCATTTAAACTTCACTATTATTGAGTACATTTTTAAAGAATAATAGCCTCTTGCGTTATACTTTTATGTAACATACCATATTTTAAAGTATGTAATGTCCATGTACCTGTTTCCAAGTTTTGGAGGCATTTCAAGCCCTGTCGACTTATCTTAAGATTTGGGATTTGGGGAGGTCTGACATTTAGACACATACCTTGCTAATACAAGTATGTGATTCTAGGTTACATAGAGTCCAGTTATGTTACTGAATAGAGTTTATCTGGCTATATTTGCTGTTGGGCAATTAAGGATCCCATTACTGTCTGATATTGTCTAATAACATGCAATTTTATGTCGTAATGATATATGGCCAAAAAATTGGTGTTAACATCAATTTATACAAATCCGGACATAATGAATGTGTCAATGTCATAATTTATAAAACTACCATCAATAGCTATTCACACTAAATATATCAGTTAAGGCAAATTCATCCCCTAATGGCACATGTGATATTTAGATTAATGAAAATAATATTGCAGTCTTGTGCATTTGACACACTTGCATTTTCAGTAGATTGTTTATAATGTACTTTTACAAGCAGTTAAAAGTTGGAACCCGTATCAAGTTACCAGAAATGTTAATATTTTAGCAATTTTTGTTTTGGGACGCACATAAAAAACGTGATACACTTCTATACCAAAACATTATAATTAGAAATCCAAATATTATTTTCCTTATTTCTTCAACTAGTTTCCTTCTTTACGAGACTGAACTATGAAGACAAAGGAAATGAATTGAAATCTAATACCAACGGGCCAGTGGTCTAGCGGTATTAGCCTCTTACTTTCCAAAGGGAGGTCAGGGGTTCAAGTCTTAGTAGAGACGTGTGTGAGTACCAACTAGGAAAAAAAATAAAAAAATTGAAATCTAATAACTCTAATGTATTCAGGGAAAGCTTTAAAGGAAGGCCCATAAGACAAAAATAAATAAATTTATACAGGGTACACGGAGGTATTTTTTATTTTATATATATATATATTTTTGGGATTCCTAGAAGTAAATTTTCCTCTGTTGGAAGAAATTCAATCCTGCCCTTGGAAGTATTATAATACAACCTAACTACGTGATCCGTATGGTATACTCTTATCGTATCACATATTTTTTGTCTGTAGCTTGCCATCAGAGAAGGAACTACATGGGGCTGAGTGGGGGCATTCGCCCCCGTTGATTTTTGTTTGTTCATATTAAACACTTAGAATTTTGCTAAAATTCTAGTAATGGCTACAAATTGTTAATAAAACCCCCGTTATGGTAGTTTGACTTTTTATTTTTTATTTTTTTTTTCTTATTGTTTTTCAGGATTGCCCCTTCTCAAATAATTTTTGGCTCTGTCACTGCTTACCCTGCTTCCATTCCTCTTCCTTGTACCTCACCATCTGTGTTCTAAGTAACATAGGGCATTATTCTACAACTGTATTGTAAAATATTCATTCAAGTTTGCAAATATGTTACTATATTATAGAGATCTAGAGGCACTTCGAAGTTTGAACTTTGTCCACCCTGCTCTAGTTTTGAGCTAAAAATCCTGCTCAATCCTTATTTGATATGGATTTTGATCAGAGATATTCCTTTAGGTATTTTTTTTTTTGAGACACCTTTGGGCATCTCGTTGCTATCAATGTTTCCTGGATCATGCTTTTTTTGCTTCTATTTTTCTGAAATTGCTTATCATTTATTTTGTACAATTACCACTTAATCTAAAAAGCTTTAGATTTAAATATCTTCTTTAAAGTTCTTTCTGACTTGTTCTCTCTCTCTCTAAGTAACTAGTTTTGTCACTTTGAACTAGATCGCCAGAAAACAGTATATAAAATGGGGCGTATTTTATGACATTCCTGATTGAGAAAAAAGTTGAGTGCTCAATGTTGTTAGAGATTAGAGATTCACTTGCCTTTATTTTGATTTTTCTCATACTAGTTATTACTTTTTAAGAAAGTTATGTTTCTATTCGTGGTTGGATGAATTTGCTGCTAAGCTTCACCTCTGTATCTGAAGCTTATCCAGTTGCATGTAACAGAAGCAGCAGAAGCAATGAATATAGTGGCAGTGGTTTTGGTGCACATGAAGTTGGTACTGGTGGGAGTGCAAGATTTCTGTTTGAAGAATATATTTTTTATGAGTTTTGGTTACCTAGTATGGATGATTCTGTTCTGATTTCTAAATTGAAGTCAGTCCCTTTATGGCCATTATCTGCCTCCCCTTTACTGGCTCCTTTTTTGTTTGTTTCTTTTCCTTCAGTGAAAGGCAGTGATATGAATGATCCCTTGCTTAATAAATAACAGTTGGATTGAATAATATGAGGATATCTTAGAGGTTATGTCTTCAAATGTTTATAATGAAGTTCTTGTCTGTATACAGGAACAAGACCAAAACTTTTGGTTCTGTGAGCAACTAACATGGAACCCATTTCAAAATTGAAAAACTAGGGTTTTGACTGAAACAAAGTCGTTTCCAAAAAGTTTTTTTTTTTTTTTTTTTTCCCTCTTCTTTTCTGAGGAGGCAGTAACAAAATGCCGAACGAGATTTTGATCCTTGTCTGTACAGGGTAGAAAGTCTTTTACTTAGACTGAGACAACTAAAGTATGTGTTTTTTTTTGGATGTTTTAATTCTTTTCATTTCTCCTTTTCCTTGGACATTGGTTGAGTTTATTTGTATATACTAATACTCTACTTTTTTTTATTCTTCCTAGTTTAGTAATACTCTACTTGTTCTCATCTTTATATATATACATGTTGCTTTCTCGTATTTAACAATTCTATTTTTTGCATCTCATCATTTGCAGGTCCAGGATTCATTTCCTTTCTCCATCGGATTTTCGTCAGATGGAGGTCCAATCTGCACGCTATCAAATGGCATCTTGTTTCCAAGAGGCCATCCATTTCCAAGTGTTAAAATGCTTACATTGCATAGAAATAATACGTTCCAATTGGAAGCCTTCTATGCTGATCAGAATGAATTGCCTTCCGGTGTATCGCCTAAAATTAGCAGTTTTACGGTATGAATACCATTTATGTATGCCTTTTCTGTCAAATGTTTTAATCTGTATTCAGATTATTATTGTATTACTTTAAAGTATCATGCGTGTCTTTTGAAACAATTATATGTTTACTTTGGGTCTTTTTTGGTGTTGAGCAAATGCATAAAATTCTCTTCACATGATGATACTGAATGATTAGCATTTCTCAGTCATGTACTATTCCAATTCGTTTATTTATTTTATATTTTTTGGTAGGCGGATAATTTATAATATATTTCCAGATTTTACAACAATGCTTTGTTTTTCTTTTACAAAGGGGTTAGATGATTCTTAGAAAATCATCTGTAATGGGAGGTAATTGAGTTGTCTGCTTTGCACATGAAGGACCGTAATGTGTTGTTGTCTTGAAATTGTCTGTTAACAAGCTTTACTCTATGGATATGTCTAGAGAAAAGGAAAAGTCCTTTGGCATTGATGGGTTTCCTAAGCCAGGCTCATCTGATGAATTTGCTTTTTGGTTTAGTTTGCCTGGAAATTGACAATAGATTTTTAGCTTAGCAGTAGGGTTGCCCTCCTCGAAAGTGGATTTTGGTATTTTTTGGACAATGGTCAGGATTTTAATAATTGATTAGTTGCTTGGAAGAAAGTAGGTGCTTCCTTATAGATGTTGCACATGTAGGAGGAATAAAAGATCTAGATTCAATCGAGTATATGAATTGTATTGACCTAAGAGTTCTTAAGCGTAAAACTGATATAGATGCTCAATCAATGTCTATGAATTTTTTAAGTGAGAATAATTTTATAAATATAAAATTTGAGGTGCAACTTCTTAAAAGATTTTGTTTGATAGGCATGCAACGTAAGAAATGCGACGGTAAAGGTAAAATAAATCATGGTTTGAGCAGACACCAGTGAAACATTTTTGAGCTCTCCAAACAAATTATTTATTGATATGATATTGCTTTTAGCATTGGTCATCTGGAAGCAACATGTGTAACCTATTGGAGCTAGAACATAAAAATGAGTTGTTTCGACCAATAAGATGACTTTGAATTGGTCCTTTTATATTACGATGCCGAGTTCTGTGATATTGCATCATGCCTCTGAGTTACCAGAATGCTGAAGACTGCCTGTGATATTAAAAGTTGTTTTGACCAATAAGGATTGTTGGGATTTGATGCTTGGCTTGTTTGGGTTCCAGTGGGTCTCATTCTGCCAGAGAGCTGGTTGAGGCTTGGAGAGGGTGTTTTTGTGGGGGCCCATGTTCGTGATGCTTGGAGGGCTACGCCTCTCTGTGTGTGGACGTGTATTTGGCTTGACAGGAATAGGAGATATTTTGATGGGAAGGAGAGGCCTATTTCTTTTCTTAAGTTCTTTATTGTTCCACTCTTTTTTGTTGGGTCTCAGGTAGAGATTATATAAGTAAGAATTGTATAAAAAGCGCTCAAAAGGGGAGCACATCCCAAGGGAACAAACACAGGCCAAAACAGCCTCTACACTTTCAAAGAGGCCAAAAAATCAAGAATTTCTGATTAGAGTCCATTTATGTGACTCATTCCTTCCTCTCCCTTTCCGATTCATTTCATCTCCAAAAAGTTCTGATGATGATATATCAGCAAGAGACCTCTATTTTTGTATATTTCTTAAAATTTGACTATATCTATTTTTTTTTATGTAAAAATATTTTTCTTCCATGCGTTATATCTATTGGGCGTTGAGTATAGTTTGGGTACATTCTGCAATTTTCTTTTATTCGAAGTTAAGTTGATAAGTGACTGTTTCTGTAGATTGGCCCATTCCAAGTTCCCCATACGGAAAAAGTGAAGGTCAAAGTTAAAGTTCAGCTAAATCTCCATGGAATTGTTACTGTAGAGTCAGCCTCAGTAAGTATGGTTTTTGTTTGCCATTTTCAGTCATTTTTGGGAGATGGATGCTAATTCAACATGAATTTTATCATTCACTCAGCTTTTAGAAGATCACAGGGACGATTCTATTTCGAGGAGCAATGCTCACTTGTCTTCAGAGAAGTCAGAAGCTGGCAATCATGGTTCTTCTGATGTATCAAATAATGTTGAAGCTACCCATTTTGCACAATCCAGTGCTTCATCGACATCCACTGTAAGTTCTGTTGAAATTTACTGTTTGATATATGCTTCCAAATTCTATTTCGCATTTGATTTGTCATTTGTTTGGTATGTTGCAAAAACAAAGACACAGAGTACATACTTTATCAATATGGATTTTGCCTAGTTGTAAATGCTTCATGGAAACACATGGATTATGGTAATACATATCCCGGCAGTTCCTCTATTCAAAATCATTGTGTGTCTCACTATAGAAATGGATCAAGTTTCTTTCACAATTTTAAAATTAAAACTAGAAGTTTATATATATATATAAAATTTACCCTAAAAATACTATCATTCTAGGATTGAAGTGAAGATATTCTTTCCCAGACTATCCATTATGTGTATCAGCCAAGTATTTGTACACTGTCATCGTCATCATCTTTTTATTTTTATTTTTCCTGAATGGTGGTATTATATACAAAAGAAAATAAGTACAAGTGCAGAAGGAGGCATACCTCCTTTTACAATTCAAGAGCTACAAGAAGCTCAAATCCAGTACATGGTGGAAAAAAGAAAAACTGAATACATAAGCATGAATCTATTAAAACATAATTGTAAAATCTTCTAAACTAAGTTTAAGGTAAGATAAAACTTCCCAAACTATAGTTTTAGCAACAAAAGAGGCTTGATCTTTGCATCCATCATGAAGTACGGCATTTCTAATAGTCCAAATCTTCCAAACAGTAGTTGCAAATATAGCACTCAACACTTTTGTCTTAACAGATTTAGTGGAAGTTTGCAAACAAAACCAATCAACAACTTGCATCAATGACTCACAGATTGGTAGGTCCATTTGCAGCAAACAGAAAATTTCCTGCCAAATTGCCTGAGCATAAGAGCATTTGTAAAATAAATGATCATTTGCGTCCATATTCTTCCAACAGTTATGATAGATAGATGTTAATACCATCCCATGCTACTGCAAATTCACCAAAGATAGATTCCTGTTGTGAAGAATAATGCAAACCACCACAGCAACTCTAGGTCTGCAATATTTCCAAATTAAGGCACTCCGTTTCTGAACTTGACCTGTATATCAACAAGCATTCCAAGCTGCTTTCAAGGAAAAATTGCAATGTCTCCAAACAATACTATCTGTCCCAGAATTAATCTTAAGTCTTTGAACAGCCTCCTTTACTTCCACAGGCAAATACTCAGGTATCTCCCATCTGCCATCAATAATTATATCAGAAACCATAAGATTTCTGTCAACTTGTCTTAAGGTAGCAGCCCCAAATTTCTGTATCAGAGATTGATTCTCACACCAGGGGTCTATTAACAGTTTAAAACCCAGTCCATCTCCAATCTTAAACTCAACATTATCCAACACAATCTGTCGAACCCCTATCAACTGCTTCCAAATCACAGAATCACTATACTTTGTAATCATCATCTTAAGGCCACTCTCAAATTTCAGTTTTAGTCCAAATCTTTTAGATCAATTTCAATCCTTAACTAGGTGGGTCCTTTAGCAACTTACAGTGAGTGATAAAGGAGCCAAATGCTTTTCCATCAACATTTCTATTCCCATTATCAATATGTTCGGTACGTGGTGGGTGCATGTCAAGGGGTGTTGAGTGTTGGTGTCTGGTGCATTTCTGAACAGTCATGGCTCCTTTGGAGAAGTGCTATGCTACCTGGCATACTAGCTATTAAGGTTTCAGTTCAATTTTATGATACCCAGTCTTCCACTAGTGACTTGTAAATTCTGGGCAAGTTGGTTGCTGTGGTCCTCGTGTCAATTCACCATTTTTCATGTACAGTTATATCATGTGTGATAGTGGTGCCGTTGATCGAGCATATTTTTGTCAAAAGCAATCAATATAAAGTCTGAAGTTGGAAATGTAAATGACATGGTGTGATTTCCTTGTGCAGGCTGATTCAATGAGAAAGGACAAGGCCGTCCAGAGACAGGACGTACCAGTTAGTGAGAGTGTTTTTGGTGGAATGACAAAGGATGAGCTCGTACAAGCTCTAGAGAAAGAACTTCAGTTGGCCCAGCAAGACATAAAGATAGAGCAGATTAAGGATAAAAAGAACACCTTGGAGTCTTATGTCTACGACACGCGCAATAAGGTATGGCTTCAAATAATTTACTTATTATTCCTAACAAAAAAATATTTTACTCATTCAAGTCTTTTATGTCACTTTATATCGACTATGTAGTATTTCTTGAATACATTTGTGTGCACGCTTCCGTCATATGGAACTCTGCTTACTTTGCAACTCAGCATCACCTTTTTGTTTGTTTATATCCGTTTAAGGGCAGCTTGAATTGTTATTGAGTTGACTTTTTTTTGGTCTTTGGAACCACTTTTCTTTAATCTTATGCATTGGATGTATCAATGACAAAATTATATGAATAGCTCTTGAATACGTACCGAAGCTTTGCCACTGAATCAGAGAGGGAGGGGATTTCTAGGAATCTACAGCAGACAGAGGAATGGCTCTATGATGATGAAGATTATGAATCTGAACATGTTTATAATGAGAAACTGAATGATCTTAAAAAGGTGATTCACTTTGTTAATTTTACTTTTCGTTTTTTGGATTGTCTCCTAATCAAACATTTGACGTCTTCTTGTTTTCTCTAGTTGGTGGATCCTATTGAGAACCGATACAAGGATGAAGAGTCTCGTCCACAAGCAACAAGGGCTCTATTAAATTGTATTGTGGAACATCGGATGGCTGTAGGATCACTTTCAGCCATTGAGAGAGACGCGGTATATTTTTTCGTGTGGTTGATAATGATAATTTTTGAAAGATTTGATGGTCATAAATCAGTCAGCTATTTGGGCTTTTTTGCTTTGCAGGTTTTTCATGAATGCAATAAAGCAGAGCAGTGGCTGAGAGAAAAAACCCAGCAACAGGATTCATTACCCAAAACTGCTGACCCAATACTATGGTCAAGTGATATCAAGAGAAAAACTGAGGCTCTTGACGCGTAAGGCTCATATCACCAATTATCACCAATTTGTACAAAGATTTTAGAACTTCTAAATTGAAGTCTAACCTTGAAGATTCAATAGCAGAGCCTACTCATTTGAATGTGGAGAGCCGGAATTTTATATTCTTAGTTGTGGCGGCGGCGGTGGTGGTGGGGAAGGAACTAGTACTATATAATTAAAATTTAAAAAAATATAAAATTACCATAATTTATTTTTCTTGAAAATATGTCTTAATTAATATTCCCTCCCCCCCCACAACCCAAATTGTCTTAATTAATATTCTTTACAACATATCTATCATGAGGGTGCTCTCACTGGATTGCATCCTTGTAACCATTAGGTTGGGAGACTGACCTTTAAAGTCTTGCAGTTTAATGGTTATAAATGTAAAAAATGAGGAAAAACAACTTAAATAAATAGAGATGGAAAGTTAGTACGAAAAGGCAAAAAACAGAGAGAAGAACACACTAGCAGCAGATAAACGAGACTGTCAAGTATTGAGCTTCCTTCTCTTTTTTTTTTTTTATTTTATTTTATTATTATTATTATTATTTTTTTATATTGAATTCACACTGACACACATGAATGGAGCATTGATATGTTGTAGCAAGGACTACCACAATAATGGAATAAAAAGGCAATCAATGGACTTTGGAGGGTCCAAATGCAACTTTTTTTCCCCCAAACTCACCCTTAATAATTAGAACTAGGGTTCCACAAACTAGATTTTTCAAGAAATTTGAGGTGCCTCCGTCCCTGACCGAATGAATGATTCCAAAGGTTTGATATATCACATTTTGTGGCAGTGATCTAATTTTTTGCTCTTTCATACTAATCCTCTTCGCATTTCTTTCTTGGTGAGTCTCATGTGGCTTGATGAACTATATTTTCAGGATGTGCAAACATATAATGAGACCCAAGGCTTCACCCACAAAACCAGAGGACAGCGTGGACTCAGGGCAGAGAAGCAAGCAGGATGAGATGCGAGTAGATTGATGTACATAGATCTACAGAGACCTGTGACATGAAGGATTTTGAATTCGGAAACAATCAGATCAGATTCAGTAGATTGGTGTGGACTTTGCTCAAATTAGTAACCTATTGAGTTATCTTTTTCCTATCAACAAATGCAGAATCTCAACATTCTTCGGGTAAAGTAGCTTCCTAATCGTTGTCGGTCATAATTACCAATTTTGCCCGTTATCATGATCCCTCTCAACCTTTGTAGTTACTCTTCTCTACAATGTCTGTGTTCCGAGATGACGTTGTTTTACTTGCCGTCAGAGACTCTGTATTTGTTTAGTGTTTTTTTTTTTTTTTTTGCTCATAAAGATTTTTTTAGAGTTCTTCACATTTTCCTGATCTACCTTGTTTATACAGAGGATGAGAAAGCACACCATCTGATGTAACAAAGTGTTCTGTTGATTGTGCCTTTAGCACACGAAATACATCGACAAGTTTTTATTTTTTTGGTAAGGTTTCATTTAAAACTAAGGAAAGCCTTGTACAATAGGGGGAGGCCTGACCTCTGTACACCAAGGAGAAAAGCTAAAAAAAAGAAAAGAAAGGATTGGTCTACTAGTCCAATAAAGATTAGCATATTTTTTTGTGCTTCATGAAATTTATTATCTGTTGGCAGCGTCACTGTCAATTTTTTCATTCTGGTCTATCAAAATTGTACTCTACTGAATTTTACTTCTGCAAACCATTTATCCATCTTGTTCTTTTTTCTTTTTCATTTTCCTTTGTTGTGTTCCTCTATACATTTCGTGTGGTGCCAGCACAGTCTTTGCTAGATAGGATGTGCTTTCTGGAACGTCTTGTAAAGTGAGCTGGGTTTGGCAGGTTGGTTCTTCTTTGCACTCCTTAATTTTCTTTTTGGTTCAGTTCAGCCAGGCTCGTCCTACTCGGTCAAAATCTATGTTACAAAGAATGCTGCTTTGTCTGGCCTTGAAGGTGGGGACCAATGAGCCTGGCATGAACCAAAATAGTCAAATGCACCTTCTGAACCGATCATTGCTCATTGGTGCAACGGATGTATTTTGATGACATTGTAGCATAAACACATTTGGTTAAGAATAGACTGTTTTAGGTTTTATTATTCTGTTATATACTCTCTGATCTTTAGTAACCATCATTGTTTCTCCTTCAATTAGGAAGTTGCCACAGTTATGCTTGGAACAATTTGGCTCGGAGCCTGTGCTAGTGAATTGAGTGTTTGCTATATTCTTATTGTTGGTATAAACAGTTGTTTAACATTTATACAGAATATGTAAGCATTCAAGTATAAGGACTTGTCATTATGTCATGTTGATATCATGTTCAGTTAGTTCTTTCATTATGTCATGTTGATATCATGTTCAGTTAGTTCTTTCGAAAGCATATACCTTGAAGCTACATGAATGACTTAAACTTGATATATTTGCTTATTGGATAGTTTCTCTTACAATGTTGTCATTATTTATTTTGGGATGACAACATATAATTTTCTGTGCATGCAACATCCAATCGTAAAACCGCTTTTTCTATTCATCGATCATGACTTGTTTCTTTTGTGGTTTTAGTTTTTTAACGAGTAGTTGTTTCTCATCTTGTTCTTTATTTTCTGCTATGTAATCGCTAGGTGAAATTGTACACTAGGCAAAAAAGAGTCCACCTCTTCAGGTGAAATCCGAGGACCCTTTCGATTCGAGTTGGCTTGATGGCTTGATTTTAGTTGCAGTGTTGGATTTTTTCGGAGTATGACTTTCAAAAAGAGTTGATAGAACACAGGTTTTAAGTAACAATGCTTTTTGATGAATATAGAGTTGCAGATATGTTTTCCTAGTCTATTTTTGCTATATATCAACATTGATTTGTGAGTTGATTTGGTTTAGCTATTTATCTGTTTAGATCAATGACATGCAACAAAAGAACGGAATTCTTTAAAGAATAATCGGATTTTCAAATTAAGAAACTTATTAGAAAATTGCTTCTTGTACATATTATTTGCTTCATGAACTCTGAATGAATCAGAAATGACTCTATAATTGCTTAATGAATTTTCTAGTACGAGCGAAGTTTCAGATCCACGCAGTGGGTGTTTCAGTTCTTTAGAAGGGATTCCTCTTCCTCCGTCTTGTCTTCCCATTTATCCACTCGATTCCTTGCCTTCTCTACCTGAAAATTTCAAAATTTGTAACTTTCATGTCCAGTGATTTTACCATTTCACATTGACATTCTAGTCTCGTAGTGTTAATTGCAATAAGCAAAGCTAGGTGTTTCATTGAATGATGTTAAAAGCAACTACTATTATTGAAACAAAAACAATTTGAGGCTATCCTGTATTCTAATTTAAAAAATTGGATTTGATTTTGCTTTTTACCGCGGTTGGAGGTTTTCTCACCATACATTGTACAACAAAAGTTGGTGTATAAAAACGTACGTGTATGTATGTATATATATAAAACCTCTGCACACACATCACGTGCAACGTTGGCTGATTTGTCCATGTATCGTAACAGAACTATCAACTACAATTATATTTGCTATTGTTGTTGGGTGGGGGGTAGATAAAAATTGTTGGTTGAGTCTTTAAATTTTCAGTTGCCATTTAAATGTTTTGGGGCATAATAATGACCTTAGTGGAAGGAGACAATCCTCAATTTTGATGACTATTTGGTACAGAGTCTCACATTATTTTAACAGATTATTACATATAAATAGTGCTAATGACTCATATTTATCATTTAATGGAGTCAAAGTCTGATAGTTTCGAAAAAAATAAAAACATGAAAAAACACTATTTATTCTCACAGAGGTATCACATTTAGGCACATAGGTACCATTTTTTATGCATGCAGGTTCCACTTTTTGTCATCAGGTACTATTTTTTGTGCTACACAAAAAAGTGATACCTTTGTGAGAGTGAATAATGTTTTTCATGTTCACGTCAACATTTTGATTAATTATATTTTTTTGAAACTATGAGACTTTGACTTCATCAAATGGTAAATATGGGCCATTAGCACCATTTATATGTAAAAATCTATTATTTTATAGGTTGCTCTATGTGTATAGATATAATTATATATATACATATATCTAATTTCTTTACAATATTTTTTTGATTAATTTACTGGATGTTACCTCTTTGTCCCAGTCGGTCCGAAGAGTGACCCAGATTAAGATGATAGTCTGCATTCCTGTGCCCCCTATAAGCCCTGACCAAATTCCCTGCACAAAAACGTATAAAACAACCGCGTACATAATTTAAGTGTGATGAAAAGAGATTTCAACACGATTTAATACATTTGTTCTAAATTTTAACACATGTTAGAATTCTAAAACAGAAGTGTTGAAAATAAATTTAAGTATATTAAAAAATAACACTTAGGCCCAACATTCTAGCCGAAATGTTGGGTCCAAGTATCATCTGGCCTGAGATTGAAATAGCGGGATCGAGTTGTTTTAGGTCCAAACGTGGAGCCTAAGTATCACTACCTTAAGAAATTTTACAACATTCAACAGGAGAGGGATTAGATTTAATATGATTCATTTTGCATACAATGTATAATGTCTTTGAAGTTTTGTGAGAGAGAGAGAGAGAGAGATAGATATATATACATATGTATAATATATATATATACCTTAGCACCAAAGTCGAAATAAAAGCCAAGAAGTGAACCCAATGGAATTCCAACCACATAGTAACATCCAACGTTGACGTAAGCAACAAATGCTTGCCATCCACACCCGACAGCAACCCCTTCAATCATTTCACAAAAAAAAATCGAAAAATAATTAATGATATATCACAATCATAGACTTTGTAGTACTATGTGTATGTGTGTGAGAGAGAAAAAAGATAGATATGTCGAACAACCAGCTTGTGTACTTGGTAGCTAAGAGAAGACTATTAGCTAGCTAGATTGCTTAATTTATGCTATACTTTTATGTGATAATGTGGATTGTCTCTTTACTGTCTGCCAATTTCCAAATAAGCTGGACAAAACACATTAAAAGTGCTTTCCAAATTCCATATTTCATGTACTAGTTTTTAATATTTTACTAGTTAATTTTGGGGATTAGATGTTAAAGCACCGAGATCTCTTTTCTATAATAATTATATATTATATCCATGAAGTGCAGTGATAATCTATATATATATATATATATATATATATATGTCCTCTTCACTGCAATTCGTGCAAGAAAGCAAACACACACCACACACAGAGATAGGATATATATATTAGTACATTTGATGAATTTCATGCAGAAACTATAATTAATTATATATTGGAAAAATTCTTTTTATTTTATTTTATTAAGTTAACACGTGTTATCACGTGTAAGAGACTAATTAGACATAGGAAAAAAATTGTAAATTTTTTTAAAAAAACCTCTAGTTGAGCCACTGATTATTAATATAATAATTAAATCGAAACAAGTTAAAGGTCAGTGCGCTTGCCAGAGCCTGAACTTGACCTATTTGTCTGCGTGTCATGATTGAGAATCACAATGTTCAATGTCATGGGATAGCTAGCTAGACAAAACCAATTTGATCAGCTATTTACTTTTTTTATTAATTAAAGTAACATTTCAATCTTTTTCTACTTCACACACACACACACACACACACACACATATACACACACACACACACACACATATATATATATACACACACACACACACACTTCATTGTCCGTTCATGCGCTCATTGCATGTTGGAAAGTTAAATCTTTAATTAGCCATTAAGTTTTCTTTTATTATTATTATTTTTTAAATATTTTTTCAAAAATTAAAAGCAGGCCCACTCTGCTGAAACTCGAATTTACAACTTCCTCTTCGTAGATGAGACATCATCTCATACGGATTAAAGGCGTGATAAAATTACTCTAATTTGGTAATTGTAAATTTTTAAAATAAAATGCACGTGTCATATAGAAAAAAAAAATTATTTTATCATATATATATATGTGTGTGCATATGATAGGGTACTCTCGTAATACCGTACTATCTGAATCCTCCCAACCGTTGAATCATTCATTAAGTGAGTTTCACTAACACGTTTAACAGATAAGGTACTCGAAGGTACGATACTAGGGTATTCTAGAATTTTTCTGGATGCAAAAGTCAGATGTTAATCATTTGTTAGTATTAGATTGGTTGTATAAATGGTATTAGAAAGAAAGTCTCACCGGACAAAACAGGTTGAACACCATTGAGTATGATGGAGACGGCCAACAAAGGGGCAAGTTCGGCGACTGCATTGGCTACGGTTTCGCCACCGGTGAAGGCGTAACTCATGACATGGCGCAACATGAACGCAACAATGGCTAATATCACAGAGATGATGAGAGAGCTCATTGTCACCACCACAACCGAAAATGCAGCCGATTTTGGATGTCCAGCACCCAACTCATTGCTCACTCTCACACTGTATATATATATATATATATATTAATGCAATGTACAACATCGAGCAATTTTGATTCAACTAAATCATATTTTATATGACATAAAATTCAATAACACACAATAAAAATTATAAGAAAAATAATAATAATATCATATTTGGTAACATTTTTTTTGTTTGTAACTAACCTTGCGGCAGCATTAAATCCTACTGAAACCATGAACGCCCATCCAAGTATTGTCACGCTGCATTTGCAAATTATTAATACATTACATTAATTCATTACCATGTATCAAATTAAAGGAACAATCTAAAGCATTATAAATTGAAATTTCTTTATATATATGGCATTTACATAAATTTATGCTGTAATAAAGTCTAGCATTTATATATTAATTTTAACACGAATTTTATATATATATATATATATATATATATATATATATATATTTGAAGCTTTAAATTTTAAATTAATAATCCTTGTATATCAACTATGAAATGATAAATCCTTAGTTTTATGATTAAAAAGTCTTAAGAGACAAGTCAAAAATTCAGACGTTATGAATTTAACTCTTACCTGATGCATTTTAAAAGGCAAAACTTTGTGATGTTTAAATTTGTTATTATAAGACCCGAACAACATTTCATGTGATAATAATCCCAACACTCATCACAATCATCTCAATTTGCAAATGCAACAACATTTTCTAACAAATGCAAATGAAATTAGGATTGACATAAAGACAATTTGAATGTTAGTTGGCGGGATAACACCTCTGGCCTCAACCACGACCATATAAATACACTTACAGATTTTGTCCTCAAGCTATATATATATATACACTCTCTCTTTCCCTATAATTAAATTCTTTATGATGGTGGCATCTGTTCAGACTTCAAAGATAACATATATATAATAATATCATTATGCAAAAATTATATAACAAAATTTATCGCATTATATAATGCATGATCACAATTAACATGAATTATCACATGAAATGATTTTCTTAGGTGTGATTTCAATCAAATTTTGATACCAGCTAACGCGTATTACTTAAACACTTTAAAAAAAGAGAGATTATATCTTATTGATTAAAGTACAAGAATTCTTATGACACAATAATTATTGAAATCGTTTATAAAATCAATTTGACGTCGTAGTATTACTCTGATTCACAAGTAATGTGAAATATATTTTTGTTCGAATTTTGTAAAAATAAGATATCTTAATTAATGAAACATCAATTGAACAAACGGACTTTAATTCTAAATTTTTACAACATACGACGATGTTAATTAATGAACCATCAATACATAAAGAATTAGTTGATTGCTTTTTTTGTTTTAAATTTTACGTAGGAAGACAATGTAAATCAATTGATGTGTCATGTTTCATGAAGAAACTAAAACTAATGGTTCGTACATTCATGGAATGTAGAGAGAGAGAGAGTGTGTTACCAAACAGAGAGGGAGTCCAATGCCACCTCAGCATTCTGAAGCAACCCAGCAATCAACACCAATATCTGCACATACCAAGACTCCAGGCACAGCATAACCCCGGATGCAGTGGATAATTTCAAGAAATCCCACAGCCCAGAAAATGCCAACATCGAAAACCCAGTCCACGTGTGCTTACACCGATCACTCATCAGGATGTACACAAATTGTGCCACGACGACGATCCACCATGACAGGCTCAGCACCAGCGAAGCACCCAATAATCCCAACCCGAACTCGTACACCGCGAGCCACGTTAATAAAATGTTTACGAGAAGCGTGACCGTTGATATGATTGCACTCGGGGCCACAATGCTCTGTGCTTGCAAGAATTTCTGGATGGGAAAATTAGCGGCGTATGCGAATATTTGTGGGATGAGACCGTACACGAACAATGCTGCTGCGGACGCGATCTCCGTTGATTCACCGAGTAGTAGCAAGAGGGGCTTACAGAAAATGTAGATGATCATAAGTGGGACCCCAGCTACCATAAGGACGATCGTTGATCTCTGTAGATATATTCCTAACATATCATACTTGCCTGCTCCATAGGCTTGGCCACATAGAGTCTCCACTGCACTTCCCATTCCTAGCTGTAGAAAAAATTTATTATAACGTATATATATTTATTTATTTCACGAAACTCATACACATGCGTATATATATTTATTTATTTCACGAAACTCATATACTCACATTGTTCTTTTAAACACTTGAATTCTAGGTGTTTTAAGTGAAAAAAAGCCATTGAAATATAATCCTTGGTTTATTTTCATTTCTCGTGTCATATTTGATATCTTTAATAATTTTTGTAATAAGTCCATGATATTGAATGAACAGTTACTCCTAATTTGAATTACTTGATATATTTATATATATAGTCATTTAGATAAATAGGTGCGCGACCAAATACTCTAATCTAGAAAAAATTATTAGTTGGTTCGAGATTAATACCAATCAGAGCTTGTAATATAACTCAAATGTCTTACTAGCCAATGAGAGCGTGTCATGGACAGGTGAGCTTTTTGATTGCGGGGCGTGGTCTATAGGTGTTTATGGACTACGGATAAGGATTGTCCTATACACTCATTGATCATTGGATTGAATTTTTCCACTAATAACGATGCCATATCAATGATTGGTGAATGTGCAGAACCTCTCTTTTTCTGAAGAGGATCCTTGCCCGTGATCCATAAACATCTAACTAGTTATTGTAGTCTAGGGCACAAACACCTACAGTGTATAGAAGGTTGAGAACAATATATATATATATATATATATATATATATATATGCGCGCATGAACACTTATAGACATACCCCATAGATGTTTCTCATACACACACAGCCCATACATGTAAGTACTACCAACCATGTTAAACATTAATAACCTCAACATACATACATACATACATGAATACATACATACATACATACACACATACATATATATATATATATATATTAATTTACCGGGAAAAAAACTTCAATATATCTATTAATTGATATATTGATAATTTTCTTTTGTGTTGTTTAGTTAGCTTAGTTATTCAATCAGAGTCTTATACTTTACTACCATATATATACATATACATATATATAGGGAGAGAGATAGTACCATGACACCATAGGCGAAGACTTGGATGCCGGTGTTGCCAAGAGAGGCGCCGGCGAGTTCAAGATTGCCGAGATGGCCGCAGAAGATCTGAGTGGACATGGAGGTGAGATTGTTGACCAAGTAAACAGCGATTGCCGGAGCTGCGAGGCGGAAGAGGGTAACCAGTTCGACGGCGGTGGCCCGTTGGAGGCGCCGGAAGTAGGACAAGCTGGTATCAGATAGAACGTCTTCGAGGGCGGAGCTTACCGGCTCCCCTGTTGCAGATTGTTTGCGTTGCAACATGGGCTGATTGATCTCACCACCATCACTGTTCTCCATGCTTAATTCTCTCTTTTTCACTTTGCTAGCTAAGGCGTTTGCCTTAATATATATTGGCTTTTACTGCATGTACGTATAGGTTGTGTTTTATTTATTTATTTTTTAATAGAAAAAGAGTGACATGGGATCCGTTGGTTAATTTCAGCCTCTTATTATAGCAATGGGAATATAAAATAAATATTGATGAAGTATACAGGACAATTTGTCTATTCATTTTTTAGCATGTATTCACTCCTAATTATTAATGTGGTCTAATTATAAATGCATATCCTAATGTACTTAATCACCGATGAATAAGTATATTCCAATATTCATAAAATGAATAAAAGTCAGATCAATCATACTCACCGAATAATAGATTTTGTGCTACATTATACACACACACGCACACAGTGTGTGTGTCAATCACCTTATGGGGGGTAAGAAATTGGTGTGTTGAGAGCACCTTCTGGCCTTCAATTTATAGTTGTTAGGTTGTGTGGTAAAGAGATGATGATTCAATAGGCACGAGGGCACAAGTTTATTGATATATGTTGTGTTTGGAAATTAAAAGTACCTTTTGAAATTAAAATTTTGAAAAAAAATGGTTGAAACTTTGAACTAAGTTGTGTATTCAAAGTTTAAATTAATTTTTTCCTAATTTTAATTTTAATACACCAATTCAATATTATCAAAAAGTATATATATATATATATATAATTTTTAATATTTGTAAGACGCTTATATATATATATTATTTTTAATATTTGTAAGACGCTTATACAGTGCTGCCAAAATAACATGATGCTACTTGTATCGTTGCGTTCCAAAGTAATGCAGTCTATGCATGTGTGAGTGTGTATAGCTGTGGGAAAGAAAAACACAGAAAAAAAAAATAAGTGCGTGAATGGTATGTCATTTAGCTACAAGAAAATACAAATTTTTTTTTTTTCTCAAGGAAAGAAATATAATATATAATACAATTGAATTAGCTTGTGATTACGCCCTTCGAGAACAAAGAATATATGTGTTCAACCAAGGGGAAAAGAAAGTGGGAGTCAATGACCTGTGGACTCCTTGTCTCATAAAAAATAATTACTTTTTGTCTATGAAGTAAGTACACGGATACGAAACACAGATACGATACGACACAGATGTGGCGATACGAAAATCTTTAAAAAAATAGGACATGGACACGGCGGTGATACGCCTATAAAATGATATATATATAATTATATATTCAAAATATAATTACTAGAACCTTGCACATTCATTTTTCTAATAATAAACAGATATATATAAATATAAAATTGCAAATAAAATAACAACAAATAACATGACCAATTTTAATAATTTCATCTTTGTTAAAAGAAAAACATAAACAAGACAAAACAGAATATAAATGAAAAATAAAATTGATCCAAATTCCAAACGAAGATGTGTAGAAGAGACATAGTTGTAATGGGCTAAATATGTACATGAATAAACGTATATACTTTCAGTCTTTCACAAAGTCTTGTTCATGTAACTTTAAAAAAAAAAAAAAAAAAAATTGTTTTGTTCATGTACAGAGATAATTAAAGAAGATGAGAGATTGAGAGAGGAAGTGAGAGAAAATAAATTTACTGTGTAGTACTCTGTTGTCTGTAGTTGTTATTTTATTTTTTCAAAATTTTACTTTTAAACTTTAAAAAAATTACATTAGGTACCCCATTTATCTTAAAAAAAAAATACAAAATACACCTCACCGTGTCCGAGTTGTGTCCCCCTCGTGTCCACCTCGTGTCTGAGCCGTGTCCGAGTCGTGTCCACCCTGTGTCCAATAAAAAATAATTTTTGGGCACTTTACAGAAGTGTCGGACAAGTGTCTGTATCCGACATTAGTACGGGACCCCTGAGAGAAATGTTCGTGTTTCATAACTTTTTGGAGAACTAGCTTGTTATAATAAAGAGAGAATTTGAGTAGATTCTTTTCTATATCGTTACTGAATGACACACATATAAAGGGGTAATTACACTTATCTCTCTTAGGGTTAGGGGTAATTACAGTCGGTACTCCTCACGTTTAAAAAATTACACCGTCGTCCCTCAAGGTTTATTCCATCATAACACTTAGCCCCCTCAAGTGAAAGTCAACGCCGGTCAATGGCCATTTTTGATGACATCATCAAGTGAAAAACCACCTTTTCCCTTATTATAGTTGAAAAGACATTTGCACCCTTACTTTTTTATTTAAATTTCAATATAATAAAAATAAAAATAAATGATGAAGAAAAGTATTAAAACATCCAAATACATTGCCTCCTATATCCTATTAGAGCATCTTCTCTCAATCTACTCTCCATAACCTCTTTACCAGATTTATCAATGTACAATTTCCATCATAATTGATTACATATACATTTAATTGATTACAATTACAATATCGACAACAGTCATTATCCATAAAATGCAATAGCAGACCTTCACCACTGAACAACCACTTTGCAACTCCATCAACGATATAGTTGTCCATGAAAAGTCAGTACTTAGTTCTCACCTCACTGTCATTTGAAGCAAATTGTAAAGTGACTAACAATCTGTGCCCGCAATATCAAGGTTATAACATGATTGAATCAGTTAAATTAGAATCACCAAAACCAGTACAACACACAAACCTCGCAAGCATGGATTCGAATTCAGAACTCAAAGATTGGGGATTCAGAAAAAAAATGTCATCCGTCATCGCTGTTGTTTTCTCGGCCGCCGGCTTGCAAAGGAGATTTAAAAAATCATCGCATCCCTATCACAATTTATTTTTCTCTTTGTAATTTTGTAAAAGCCACCTCTTACAGTTGCATTACAGACACGTCTATGTTTCTATATAATATATATAAATCGTCGCACCGATCGATTCAATCAGAACAATCTGTCGAGCCAAACCCACACAGAGAGTATCACTCTCCCCAAACTCTCCATCGCCTCAACAACTGCCTCTCCAGTGGCTCCGACGACTCCACCGAGCTCATCGATCTCCGAAAAGAGAGAGAAATCAAGCCGAAACGCCACCTTACTTGCTGGAACCTGATTTGGCATGGATTCGTCTCCGTCGTCGGCTCTGTCATCTTCCCCTCACCTGAAAAGAAGCTCACAGTGCTGCCGAACCCCTCCACTGTGCTCTCGTACGCCGCATCTGGCATCTCTGCACTGTCATCCTATTATGTTATCCCTATTCTGTTAGGATAAAAGAGTAATTTACTATCACATATCATTAGTAATATAATATGGAGGGTATATTAGTATATTCACAGAAATCTCTAACACAACTCACCGGCAGTCACATTAGAGGGAGTCAGTGTAATTTTTAAGTAGAGTTATCCCCACATATAAATATATAGACATTCAATCGAATCAAGTAATGTATGTTTACAATCGCGTCAAAATGAAAGTTTTTAATGCGCTTGTAATTCAATTAGGATATAATTAATTCAATAATTAATAAAATATTATTAATATAAGTTGTAGCTTTGTAGGCCTACTGGGCCTACAATTCTTGCATAGATATAATATATTTGTGGATCCCACTATAATTTGTAATAGTTTGAATTTATTTCCTCACAAAGACCCACCACTTTAAAAAAACAGAGAAGTGAGGGTTGGTTTGAAATTGAATTTATTCTTCACAAAGACCCGCCGCTTTAAAAAAGATAAAAAGAAAAGAGAGAGAAGGGAAAGTGAGGGCCACAACTGCAGTCTGCCAGAATTGGCTGACTATACTGGCCTGTTTTATGGCTACTGTACATGACCAGCTGCCATGTATACACTGCAAATAGAAATTTATTTTAGGTTAACTTCAGGGACACTCTTTGACGTATGTCCAATCTTCAATGAGATTTTTTATGTTTGTAAAAATTCAATTTTTTCTCGGTCAATGGTCAAAGTTAGTTAGAGACAACTTTTACTGACATAAGCAAAAAAAATAAATTTTAATACCCAAATTAGCCCTGATTAAGTTTGGTTGTTGGAAAGAGAGAAGTCAAGCCACTTTTAGTTTTTAGAGAGATAAAGAGGTGGCCGGACCAATTGGCGCGGGTCAGCTTCACGCGACGGCCGGACTTGTCCACCACCATCTTGAGCTTGTTGACAGAGGCCATGAATGGGAGAGAGTTGCAAACAGGAAGAGAAAAGTTAAGAGGATGCTTGGAGCTGGCCGATCAGGAACAGCCAAATTACATGGCCTCGCGGATCACTAAACCACCATCTCTTTGTTCCATGGCCTCGCATATCACTACACCACCGTTCTCTTCGTTCATGAAACCCATTGTGGAGGCAATTTCAGTCGAACCTTTCTTCCTCGCTGTTTAGTCTCGGTATATCGGACTCCACCCTCCGCCGGTGTTTTACTGGGTTTACTTCTATTCGGCTACAGTCAAAGGTTAATTAGTTACCATGTCTTCGTTGCTTATGCATATGCAGTTACAGCTCTCCTTGTCCTCCCCTCACGTAATACCTTCTTTAGCCTACGCTTTTCGAATTTTCTCTTTCAACGATCCTATTTTACGTGGTCCAAATCATTCCCAATATAAGCGTCTCTCTCTCCTATAGGGTTTCAACATTCTCACAACCACCATATCCTCTTTACTCTCTCTCTCTCTCTCTCTCTAAAATTGATTTCTGGTTTGCCTTGTTCGTCTCCATCCCCTCCAATTCTCTGTGGTTTTACTTGAAACCTAATGTGTGTTTGTTAATTTGTCACAAAAATATGTGAACCCGTTTGGTCATTTGCGTTCTAGTGTTACTGTTTTCAATTGGGTCTCTTCATTTCCAACGATTTTGGGACCCAATTGTGTTATTCTCTCCTTGTTAAGTTTTGATTTTGATTATTGTGAGAAATTTACAATCTTTTGAGGCGATTTTTGTTCGTGTGAGAAATGCCATTAACAGATTATCAAGGTCCATCAGCTTCTTTGACTAATTTTGGCCGTACGATCCTGAGCATTCGTCGTGATCAAGTTCATTCCATGGAGAATAACTATGTTTAATTGGATGTGAGTAGGTATACATCTCAAATCATGGGATTCGTAGGCATTAATTACACTTCTCCAACACTTTCTTCGGCCATCAGCAACCTGCTCCTTGCTTTCACCTTTATTATTGCCATCATTTTTAGGTAATTTGTATTGTTGTTCATGATT